GGCTGTTGTCAAAGTTTCCTGCTTGCGGTTGTGTGTTTTTCGTCATTAACGTCATCGGTTTTGCCAAGGCTGGGGCTGCCTGCAGGATTTTGGCCTGGGGTTTCTTTGGGCAGCACGTAGCTTCTCATCTTGGCAACCTCAAGTGAGCCCGCTCTCAGCTTTTAAGTCCTTATTCCCGATTTTTATTTTTTTTCCATGCAGTGCAGGCATGTATTTAATCTGCAGAGGTGTAAACTGTCCCAAAGCGGCAGCGTGTCCGTGTGTGTCTGTCTGTCCCGGTGTGTCAGTTTGTCTGTAGATGTGTGTGCTGGCTTTGGGGTTCGGTGGGAGATGCCGCAGGTTAGCAGGGCTTCGTGGGGACTTGACGCCAGGTCGAGTTCAGCTGCTGCTGGTGGAGTAATTCCTCCCTTTAGAAGTTGCTGGCTGGAGGCAGACTTTAGAGCTGAATTTAAAAAATCCTTAAACAAGTAATAGAAACTTACGGGAATTTAATATAGGTAAAAAAGACTGGATTCAAATATCAGTGCCAGGTTCCAGTCTCCATCTTCTCTCTCTTTTCTGTTAGGAGAAACCTGGAGTTTTATATCGTTCTAGTGAAGGTGGAAATCAAAAGTCCATTTTCTATCACAAAATTCTCTGTATTCCTTATTAGTGCCCTTTCTTATCTTAATTCTCACCTTTCTTTCCTCTCCTAATCTTGTTCTACCCTGGAAAAGTTACAGCGTCCGCTTGCCATATAATTTATTTGTTTGCCAGTACGGTGGCACCGGGCTGTGCTGATGTGCGTGAGCTCAGATGGGGCAGAACGCAGATGCCTAGCAGTGTGTGTCCTGCGTGAGGGATGGTGACAAGTCCCATCGCAGGGCCAGCGTCCTGACACCGCCTGCGGCGCTGGGTCTAAGGGACGGACCTGCATTCGCATTCATTTTCCTGCTGCCATTAACTTTGTTGGTGTAGTGATTCCCGGTGAAGACAAGCCGTAGAAAAATAAATCCTTTTCTTAATTAGCAAGGAAGTGTTTATTTGGAAGTAAACTTAGGCAAACCCTGAAGAGAAACTAAGAAATGTGAAAAAAGGAGAAATAAATGAGATCAGAAGAGGATTACTGCAGGATTTAGCTCATGCAACTCTTCCGCAAAACATAAGTGAAAAGTTTCTCTTAAGTGAATCTGTACTCATGTTCAGCACTAAGCTGAGAGTTGTCTTCATTGTCCAGGCAGGAATATCATAGGTGTGGTTCAGTTGCAAACCAACAGTTTGTGATCTAGTACTGTGCAGAATTTTGTGGGTGGGGAAGAAAGCTACTAAAATTTATCAGAAAAGCTCCGAAAGAGCTTTCATTTCAGGAATGAAGTTGTTGCATGCATCTTCACTTTATATCTGCCTATCCCAGCGGAGTTAATGTAAGAAAAGACCTCTGGTTAATTGTTCATCTTATGCCGTTATCCCACCCTCTTAATGCCCAGGTGACCCGCTGGGTGCTGGGTATGCGTTACCCATGCGAAGTTATTCACTTCGATGGCATGGGATACTCACAGAATCCAAAGCTAGTTCAGGAATGAATTCTGAAACAGAATTAAAATTTTCTTTCACTTTGACTTCCAAATAAGCATTAAACCTGTAGAGGAGCCCAACTGAACGGTTTGAAGGAATGGCAGTTATCTAAGGCATCAGCTGAGGCTGCCCTGGCACTCAGGGAATGGTTCCCTCTGGCGTTCCCAGGTTTTCATCAGATACTGGCATGCTTTGAAGCAGACCTAGCGCACTTCAAAGTGGCTGGCCACAAACTGCTTCTTGCCCTCAATATTACATTATTTGGAAGTAGCGCTAGGTCAGGCGACTGTTCTCAAAATGCATCATCTGGGATTTCGTGCGATTCTGTTGTTCAGCTGCTTTGTCGTTAGGGTTCTTAGAAACACCCTGCACTGCAACATTCTTTGCTGTGGCATGGGAAGGCCAGTCCTGAAGATGATATAGAGATTATTTTATGAATAGGGAAAAAATATGGCTTTAGAAAATATGTATTTTCTACATTTAGTATTAATATAGAACACAACACTAGTGTAGTTTAAATTTTTAAACACTAGTATAGAGTAACTTAATTTTGAGGATTTACTGAATAAGCAGGAAATTACAATAAGGAAAGGGTAAGGAGTTTCCTATTACTTGACCAAATTCATTCCATGGGTGGCGTTAAGAAAAAAATGCATGAGTGGTGAAAAAAACTACACTGAATAAGGAAAGCAACATCTTTATAAGTTCCTAGGACCCTAACCTCACTTTTAACCTACTGACAGCTGATAAGATCTAGTAAAATTCTTTTCCCTAATTTGATCAGCGAAATAGTTGCATTCTGCCGACGAGGCAAGCTAATTTTTATGATGTTAGTGATCATTTGTGGTCTTGTTTTCTGGATGTGCTCAGTTGCTATGCTATTCTTGATATGCATTTTGAATTACTGCTGAATAATTTGAAATACTCTGTTTTTGTAGCCCCACTGGATCCCATGTGGAATGGTGTAAACAGCTGATAGCTGCAACCATTTCTAGTCAGATTTCAGGGTCTGTCCCGTCAGAAAGCGTGTCCAGAGACTACAGGGTAAGTGACTTGAGGAATGCATTGATTTGTTTAAGATAAAAGACTGCATGATCAGGAAAGTCCTTGCTACCTTGATTATCAGGTGGTAAGTACTTAAGTGATCGCTGAGTGTTTCAGAACTAGAATCGTCTCATTATGTGTAGGAGTCTTTTGAATATGCTTTGTGTCTTCCTCCCTATTTAGAGTAGTGGCATTGAAGTCTTCAGAATAAAAATTAAGAGGGAGAGGTGAAAGGAAAATTAAAAGTCAATGTTTTGAATAAAATGCCAAAAGTGAGTTGTCTTGATTACTATATAAAAATTTTTGGTAAAGCAGATTAATAGTTACAAGTTGAAATTGTTTCGTGTGTGTCATTCAGAGTACAGAATTGAGCTCTCCAGATCTCACCAAAAAATACGTGCATATATGTCTTGTGTTACCATGCAAAGAACAGAAATGACTGTCATTTTTCATGGGCTTTTACCGGAGGCAGGGAATTTAACATCAAACAAACAAACCAACAAACAAATCACCTTTTTCTTTCCCTCCCAGCAACATTTTTGTCACTAAGGTAAGGATTGCACAGTATGGTTAACCCGATAGGTTCCATTATGCTTTTTTACCCCTGTTCTTTCATGCCCATTTGCTGTTTCCTATATGCGGCCAGCCAGCTGAACTGTCAGGAGTGGAGCATATGCAGCTTTCCTTCTCTTACAGGTTGACAGAAGTCAGCTCTGTTTCAAGTCCCTTTAAGAAACTCAGGCTGCTGCTATCTAGATCTTTTTTTCTTCTAGATTTGAAGCAGTTTCATGGTCTTCATGCAAAATGGCCAAATGAAGGGTTTATCTTTTTTTTTTTTTGTTTTAACTGGATTTTTAAATTACATTCTAATGTGCTCTGTGATTAAAAAGTTTGTTGTGCAGGAACAGTGTATTTTAGATTCTGTGACAGCAGGTCAGATTCAGCCCAAGCCTGAAGATGAATCCACAAAATGTTTTTGACCGTAGCCTACTTAAAAATTCACCTCACAGACTTCCACACTATTGGCACAGTCAGCAGCTTATCCCCATAAAAAAGTGTAGCTCTTCTGTACTATGGCAGCTGAATTGCAAATGCTTGCTTCAGGTCAAGGCTAACATCTTTGATAAGACATTGTGGGAAACCTTGCATTACAGCTGTCGTTGTTGTATTTGCCCTGTAGATCAAGGACTTCATTTTAGAAAAATCCAAGCGTGTAAGCTTGGTGCTCAGTTTATCTCTTGAGTTAGAATGCGTTCCTCTGGAATAAGGAGCGCCTTTTAATTCTAAATAACCTCCTTCTCTATACCGAACTCATCTTGGATATTATTTACCAGGAGTAAGTCTAGTAAGGCCTGATTAAAATACTACTTCATTCCCTGTTTCTTAGAAATGAAGTAAAAAAATTTAAGCCTGCTGGTATTCAGAATTTTTGTGTATAAATTGTATTTGGCATCATTGCATTGCTGTGATTTCAAATCCCACACTTGTGTATAACATCCTGGAATTTTTTTATGCTAGAATATCCTTAGTTACATTCAGGACCAGTATCTTGTGGTGTCTGTGCTTTAGGAGAGGGTTTCCTTTGCACTTAGCTTCTGCAGAAGTTTAGTGGTACAATTAGTTGATAGTACCACTAACAGGCTGGGTTTATTCATTATTACTGTGGAATTTGCATGTAAAAAGATAATGCCCGTTTATAACTCAGTTTTCCTTTGAGACATCTTTCCCTTTTGACGCACGCTGATCAATTTTCTGGGTCTTTGGTTACCTCGAATCGCTGCATTTAGAGACTCTCTTATAACAACTCAGAAAATTCAGGTAGGGCCAGGCGTGTGTGCTTCTGGAACTGGTCAGGCAGTTCTGTTGCTTTCTTCTGGATTTCCCAGGAACTCACTGTTTTATTCTTTCTTTCATCCTTTTTTTAATGTTTCAATCAATATATTTGCAAAAACAGGTAAATATATCAATCCTTATATCTTAACAGTGTTACTTATGTTAATCTGTGTAATTTACCTTACTAGAATGAAATTTAGGGGAGGGGGGAATCAAACAGAAGCAAAGGGGCTGCAAATAAAATCTTCAAAGCTGGAGAGCACTGAGCCAGCCCTTGCTTGCTAAACCCAACAGCAACATGATCTCACTCTGAGGTTGAAATCTGTCTTCTCTGACTCTGCCTGGAGGAGTGAGGAGTTTATGTAAATGAAAATTGCTTAGATTATAGCAGCTGCCTATAGACACTTTCCGAAATAAGGTGAGAAGAGTTGTTGCTATCCTTGTTTTGCCATTTGAATCTAAAAGATATGTTGGTTATACTTCATGGCTGTTACTGCAGCCTTATTGTCTTCCACCTAGAAGGATTACCGGGTTCTTTCTTCTCTTTTCACAATAGCACATTGTCATTGGATAAAAGGGTGATTAGGAATGAATGTTTCAAAAGAGCTTGGCATTCGTTACATCACTAAAATGAAGTGCCTGGATTGTTTTTAGGCCAACACCATTCTGCAAATGAGAGCTACTAGATCTGCATAATTATGTTTTGTTCTTTTCAAAATCCAGCTATAATCAAAATGTTTGGAAGTAGAGTTCTGAAAATCTGATGAAGTAAGATAGAGTATCTTTAACAAATCAGATCTGCGTGTTTTGTTGGATAACATTTTATATTTTAACTAACAGGTGTACAGGAGGCCTGTTATACGGGTAAGATCACCTTTGGCTAGCAGTCAAACGGCCTCCTACCTGTTTGTCTTTTGTGCTGTGTGAGATCTTGGTGTGTCAAGCGTTCTTCTTTACTTCATTAATGGTTTTTATGAACCAGTCAGACCATTTTGCTATGCAGTGCAACAGCTTCTTTGCCATAGAAATGCTTTATATACGTTACAATGTTTTCTGGAGCAATAAAAGTCAATGTGTAAGAGAGCAGTATTTTTAAATTATGTTATGAATGTGCAGTACTAACTTCAGTTTTATTACATTAATTTTGACAAAATGGATGCTTGCAACTGAGGCTTACATGCTTTGGACTACAGAGTACTGTATTAGCAGCTCTAACGTGTTATCTATGCTAAAGAATATTAGTGGTAAAAGCGTTACGTCTTTGTCTATCCTATTTAAATAAGATACCAATTCGTGCTTGCTTTTTTCCGTGTTTTATCTTAATTGTTACAACCCTGTGGTAGGATCGCAAGTTCAGTTTGAGGTTAAACAGTACTGCAATGACCTGCATCTTTTTAACAATAATTTTGAGACTAGGTCTTGCCCGTTCTTCATCGGAGGTAAGAAAAGGGCAGGCCTTGTTTTCTTGTGTCTCTCTCATAGTAACATTTATGGAGTGAGAAATGATCTGGGTAGTGTTCTGACATTGTTCATGAAATGTGCCTAACACTTTTATTCAAACAAAGGCCTCTTGTTTCAGTCTCAAACCAAGAGATGAAGTCTGAATGATTTCTTTTTCTCATCCGTTGTTTACAGATTGGAAAATGATGTGTTTAGTCCAATCATACAAATCCACAAGCTGATTTTTTTTTTTTTTTAAATCCATAGCTCTTGAAATAATTGGCCTGGGTTGAGTAACAAAAATTGATTGTTTTAGTTCAGTTTTACATAGTTCTTTGTAAAGGCTTTGGTCTTTGAATGACCTGCTGTGCTTCTTTCTCGTTCATTTATTTAAGATCTTTTGGTGTATTTGCTGGTTGTCCTTCCGGTTTTCTTCTAGAGATCACAATATCTACTTGGCTTTAAGTTCAGAAACAACGTTTTTTTATGGTCTGAAATTGAAGTAATTTCTGTTTAACAGAATTCCGCCAAAACATAAATGTTAGGAGTCCTTTATCATTTGAAAGGGCTTTTAAACTAATAACTTTTTTAACTCTTGTAGACTTCAAATTATCTGAAGATATCTGAAGTCCTTCTTTTAAGTTTTCTTTTTTGAGAGTTCTGTAGAAATACTGCAAAAAGAAAAACTGACTTTAGAAACATTTTTAAATTTAGACTGAGGCTGGTTTTACAGTCTATCAAGTGAGAAGTTCCTTGCATGTACTGGGAATAACAGACTGTCACAACGTCTCTCCAGTTAATAAAGAAAGAAGGCGGAAGAACAATTTTGGCTGAACGTATTAAAACAATTACTTCATATGACCCTGTGACATTTGTGCTTCTCTCTGGAGTGCATAGGGACCTTATGTTTATTAAAGAGATTTAATTAATAGTCAGGATTTGCTGCCAATATGATGCAAAGATAAATTAACATAAAACCATGAATTTTTTTCATATTTTGCTATGAGGAGTAATTTTTGGTTCTGTGAAGTTACTGACTGGGTTCCCAGCAACAACACAGAAGTTGCTGGGAAAATATGTGAAACCATAAAACTGAAAGTTCAGTTAAAACATGTTTTACACAGTAAAGCATTTTTCTAAAATTGTCTAGATGTTTTATTTGATGTCGACCTATTTTTTCCTTGAAAGACTGCATGAGTTTCACCCTAATGCTACCATCGCAAGCTGTACTCAATTTCTCCTATTGATAAGCATGTGGCATACTTTGAATTCATTTTCTTCACTATAAGGTTGTTTGTCTTAAAAAGACAGTACATACTTTTATGTCCTTATCTACCAGTGCTGACTCTTTTGTGGAAAAGGGATTACATTTTTCATTTTGTGTTGTGCCAAATAACATTAAAAGCATTGTGCTAATAGCTTGGATTCCTTTCTGTAGGAAGTAGTTTGTACCAGGAGTAGAAGGTTTTGAGTAGCTAAACTGGAGTTAAAGTATATGCTGTCTTTTTAAGGAAAGGAAAAAAGAAAAAAAAGGAAACAAAAAAGAAAAGATTCTGTCCTTTCACTTGTTGTCTGCATGTTTTTTTCCTGTTACTTCTCTCTTGCCCTACTGCTGCCTCGTGCAATGCAGGAGATTCAGGATGGACACAATGGCTATCATTCTGAAGCAGAACCTGATCAGGTGGCAAGTTTTACTCATCTTTCATTCATTAACTGTGTAGCAAGGTACTATATATTAGTACTTGTATGGTACATACAAATCTTACATTTTTCACGCAAGAGAATCCATAGAAAGCATTTAGTGTGTTAACTGGTTATGAGCTAGGTAGGGTTTTCTTGTAAGGTCATGTAGCCTAAAATGTAATACTGCACGTAAGCAAAGAGCACGTCCGTCCTTCTGAGTTTGTAATTATTGGCTAATTCTCCACACATCATCTGTTGTGATTGGGTGCTGAATATAAAATTCTGTTAGTTTCCAAGAAAATCTAAACCCAGAGATCAATTTAAATACCTTTAGAAATTATTTATTAATGAGGGCTTGTGGTAGGTTGTTTGGAGGCAGACAGATCCTACCAATTATTTGTACGTGGATCAGAGCTATAATACAAGGGAAGAGTTATTTGTTTACTCTAATGTAGCTCATTATATTTATTCTCACTTCAGGATGTAAAAAATTGAAACCGTAATATCTCATCACATTGACCTGAGAGAGATCGCTTTCTCACATGGTCCTTAAAAGTCCTGCAAACCCTTTTATTCTTAGTTAAAATATTTAGTACATTGTAAATCTTAGCCGCCAATGAAAGACCCAAAGGATCAATATTGTATCATTCAGGAATGAAGCCATTGACCTAAATGAAAATTTATGGAACTAGCCCTTATTTTAAAATTGCTAATTCTTCTTCTATATTTCATTATGACTTCATTCTGGATCCAAAATTCCTGTAATGGACCTCTTCTATAACCTGTGGCACTCTCAGTAGGGTATTGATTGAAATAGAGCATCGTGGGGTGCTTCTGACTTCTTGCTATCAAAAATACAAAATTAAAATGTTAAATAAATCAAGCTTCTGCCATATAATTCTCTCAGATGAAAATACTCAAATAGTAAATAAACAACATTAAGAAGGAAAAAAAATGAGTATGAGCTTTAAAATGTTCTCAAGTACATAAAATACCCAAACCAATACCTGCATTCAGCAAAAGACTAACAAATTATTAATTAGAAATTTGGGCTGATCTCATGTTTGTATGCTATATGTAGCTTGCATGTGAAACTAATCTCTGCATAAATGCTTTATTACTGACACGTTACTAACATGTATGTGTAATATTTATAATACCGAGTTTGGTGTTTGGTTTTTTTTTTGTTTTTACTATGGTACTGTTTAATACAGTTGTGCCTTGTAAAAAAAGATACACTTCATGTGTTCCCGTAATCTGGTAGTAAAAGCACTTTGCATCAAAATGTATCGATGTAGTACAGATGGAAAGTGAGATTTACTCATGGGTTTGGATTTCTGCCAGGCACTGCGGGATGGAAACAAACTAGCACAGATGGAAGAGGCTCCACTTTTTCCTGGAGAATCAATCAAAGTTATTGGTAAGCATACGATTGAGTACCACACTGAATACTATTAAGTCACTGGTTTGTTTGTTTAAAAACAGAATACTATTTCCTTTTGACTTTTGTGATTTTAATTTAATGCCACTTTAGATTAACTGATTTGATGTGGATTTCTTTGTCTTTTAAAGCCAAATGTAGGAAGGAGAAATCAGTTCCAGAGGATGACTTGCTCCATATAGATAAATCTTTTTTTTTCAAGGGTTAGTTTGTTCTGTGTAGGTGTATGGGTTGTATTTCTGCTTGGGGAAGGATACTTCATAGATTCAAAAGCTTCAAAATTGTGATAGCAAAGAAGATGAAGTTATGGAAAACGTAGCTTCCAGTTCTTAATGAGATTTATTTCACTTTGGCCTGTGACAGCCAGCTCTGCGTGAGCAGTACAGTACTCGGTTAGAAAAGAACGCTAATTCTTTCAAATAAAAGTGAAAATGGAGATATGGGCATATCACTGAATCACTTGGAGGTCGCTTGGAGGTGCATCAGTGACTGCCCATTTGGATGCTCTCTCTCCGAGGTGAGTGTGGGCACTTTCCACCTCAGGGCAGGGACCAGAGCCACCCGCAGCTAGGAACAGGGGCAGGGTGCTGTGTTACTGCCTGTGTTACTGCAGCCCATGCTAGCTGAGCCCAGCCCCAGTTGCTCAGCAGTTGCTGAGCAGCAGTGGGACTGAGGAATTTGATTGTTTTCACTGCTGAGATAAAGACAGCTCTTTCAGTCCTGACAGCGTCTGAAGAGTAGGCTTTCCTATAGAGGTCAAACATCAAAATCTTATGGAACTGCAAAAATCTTGCTGTTTTTAAATGGAAATAGATTTTTATGGAACAAATGTCTATAATAGTAAAACAAAGCTTTAATTGGTCTGTTTTCCAGCTAAAGATGTTATGTATATCTGTCCATTTATGGGAGCAGTCAGTGGTACACTAACAGTGACGGACTTCAGAATGTATATCAAAAGCGTTGAAAGGGTAAGACTATCTATCTGCGCATTGTTTCGGGTAGGAATGTTGCTGAAGTGGGTTTCAGAAAGTGACAAACTTGGTGTAAGTGAAGTATGATGGTCCACAGCAGCCTGTTAAACAGGAATTATAGTTTACTCTAATGAGACATAATGAATAATACTAGTTTGTGTTCCTCCTAATGTAACAAAATTCATTTATTTTATATACAAATTTCAGGATCCACCTTTTGTTGTTGACGTTCCACTTGGAGTTATAAGTAGAGTTGAAAAAATAGGAGTACAGAGCCATGGAGACAACTCATGTGGTATAGAAATAGTTTGCAAGGTATGGTATGGTAGAGATTTATTCATATTAAAGTATTTTCATTTCATGTTTCTGTAAGAGGAATCTGCATGCACATGTGATGTTTTTCTGTCTGATCAGTTCCCTGTATTTGAACCCTGCTTCATTTAGATAATATATTTCAATTCCTCTTATGATACTTGTACTCTTAAACACTTCTGCCTTCTGTCTCAAGAGTGAATTCAAAGGAAAAATGGCTATTTTTATGATATCTAGCAAGTCCAATGACAATCGTAGTCATCTGATACAAACACCTACAGAACTCTGTTCTAATGTGGGTTAGATGATGTGAGTGACCTAGTGCTACGTATATGCCTGCCTTCAATCAAATTTCTTATAACTGCTTTTTTGGTTTTTAATTTGTCGTAAAATAGAGTAACTTATTTTTGACAGGATATGAGAAATTTGCGGCTGGCGTATAAACAGGAAGAGCAGAACAGATTGGAGATTTTTGAAAACCTTGTAACACGCGCGTTTCCTGTTTCTAATGGGCTGGTAAGTCTTAAGATGTAGAGAAGGCTGTCACTGGCTCTCCTTTTTGGAAGGAGTAGGTGGGGAGGTAGAAGGGCTGTATAACAAACATTGAAATGTTGATTCATAAAACCTGTTACAGAGCAGGCAAGCTACTCTGACCCCATTTCCTTTTTGCATTAATTCGTAAAACGTGTTATGTCCTGCTATTGGTGAAGTGAGTTGATTTGTACATAACCCGTGATATCTAGATTTGCCTAATGTTGCTGATTAAAAATATGTATGTATTGGCTCTTATTTTCTGCAGCAGATAATTCAGCCCAGAAGTTCTGTCTAAAACAACAAATAGGTACAATTAGTCTTATGTTAGCTGCAGAATGCTGTCTCATTTGCTGGTATGGATAAGGAAGTGGTTGGGAGGTAGGAGACCAATTTCCTCATCGTGGCTTTGCCATCGATGTGTTGTATGATCAAAGGCAAGTAGCTTCAACTCTCTCTGACCATTTCCTATCTTGATTTTGTTAATTATATAGCATGTACTTGAAGGAGGAAACTCTTTCATTTTCTTTCTAGCACAGAGTTGTCCAGTCTTGACTGGAAGTTTTATGTCTGCTGTTAAAAAGCTTTAGAAGTGTTACATTTAAAATATTAGAAGGTTCACTGTTTTGGAGCTTATTGTGCGTACAGCCCATCAGACAGTAATTTATGCCTGTGCTTTGTTGTCTTTAGCCTCTCTTTGCATTCAGCTATAAAGAAAAGTTTGCTCTTAATGGCTGGAAAGTGTATGATCCAATGGCAGAATATAAGAGGCAGGTAAGTTATCTAAGTACTTGGTGTATTTTTTTTCTCCATCTTCCCCAGAGCCATTTAAAAAAGTAAAAATATTAAAGAAAACTCAAAATTTTTGTCTCTAGCTACATACAGAGACTGTCTAGATCTCATGTTCAGATAATAAAATGCCAGTGGCCTGACTTTGAGAATGTTGAGCACCTGCTGAAGTTGATGGAGATACCAGGTGCTGAGTACTTGAGCAAACTGGTCTATTTTAACATGCATTCTTAAATCCACATTTTCCAAGTGCTGTTTCTAGAAAATACAGGCTTTATAAAAAATTGGCTTTGAATAAGCAGCATTAAACAGAAGAGTAACCGTGGTTTGTAATTGTAAATCTACAGTTTTCCTAATTACAAAAGTATTTTTATTTCACTATATGATCACTTTTTACCTGAGTGTGCAGCCTATTCACATGGCTTTTTTGCAAATCAGTTATGAAGATAATAAATAGGAAAGACTTTCAGTGTTTTGGATTATGGTTCAATATGAAGACCTGAAATTTTTAGCTTATTTAAAAGAAAAATATGGGCACGTTTTACTAAAAATGTATGTAGCATGTAAAAATGTTAATTGCCCAAAACTCAGATATGTAAAGGTCTAACCTGCAAAATACAAAAATGTTTTGCTTTCCTACAGGGCTTGCCCAATGAGAGTTGGAAAATATCCAAAATCAACAGCACCTATGAGCTTTGTGATACATACCCTGCTGTTCTTGTTGTGCCAACCAGCGTAAAGGATGATGACCTCTCAAAAGTGGCAGCGTTTAGAGCAAAAGGCAGAGTTCCAGTAAGTGAAACTTTTACAAGGAGATATAAGTGCTCTGCAAATTTGTAGCTTATAAGAAATTATCAGGGTTCTTTTAGGCTTTTTTTTTTTAAATAACAGTGGGCTGGCTTCCTTCCTGGAAGGGGGGAGCAAAGAAAGAAGAATTGGGCTTGATGTATATAGAACTGAAGTGAGCAACTCAGATGTGAATCTAATTGCCTGGTGGTTGTGCCATTCAGTAAACTGTTGCTTAGAGTTAACACTTTAAGCCACAATCGTATCTGATGCTAATTCACATGTTAGTTTGTGTCCTGATTTGGTGTGGAATGTGTTACAGCCATAGCGGTTTTCTTTAGAATAGGCAAGTTTTGCAGGTAGTGTTAAGAATCCTTTTAAATATGTTAGATGGTGACAGTTTTCATGCTGTAGATCTGCTTAGGAAGGTAGTGTACAGGTCCACTACTTCTAATTAGTAAGATGCAGTACCAGGCTTAGTTTTTATTAGAAATAGAATTTAAGATGTTTAGAATCAGTTCGTATTTCAGGCTCAGATTTGGGATGAGCAGTGCTAGTGTGCTGTCAATATGGTTTTGCATTAGCTTGTCCTTAAATTTGCATTTGTTGCTTTGCCAGGAAATAATGCCATGTAGGCGATGTGATTGTCTAATTACACTCTGCCCTGCTGCTTTTAGAGTAGTATAGTAAACTGAAATAATTTTCTTTTATTCCAGGTGTTATCCTGGATTCATCCTGAGAGCCAAGCAACAATAACACGATGCAGTCAGCCATCAGTAGGCCCAAATGATAAGCGTTGCAAAGAAGATGAAAAATATTTGCAGACAATAATGGATGCCAATGCTCAGTCACATAAACTTACCATCTTTGATGCCAGACAGAATAGCGTTGCAGATACAAACAAGGTAGGTTGGTATCATAACTAGCATTAGTAGTTCTATCTTTATTAGAAGGCTGAAGTTTGAGGTGAGAAGTTGATGTTGAAAAGAGATAAAAAAGGGTCTCTAGAGAGGGCTTGGGAAGGAAGGTGAGTTGCTTGTAGCATTTTGGAAAGGCTGGCAGGAATTGAAGGCAGCATGACGGCATAGCTGAGAAGTGATGCAGTAAAGCCCAAAGACGACCAAAGGTTTCAGTAGTAAAAAGGGGAAGGCATATGAATGTATTATCAAATGTAGCCTATTACAATTGGAATTTCTTTCACCTAAAAAAAAATCCTAGTGCTTCTTAGAAAAAAAAAGCCCAAAATACATTTTTATTAGTGCTAAAATAATCCTTTCTCTCAGGAAACCCTGAAACCTCACCAAAATAACTCTCTCAACCTCATACTGAAGTCCCGTACATGTTCTTTTCTTCGTCTGTTTTTCCTTTTTGAATGACAGGCAAAAGGTGGAGGATATGAAAGTGAAAGTGCCTACCCAAATGCAGAGCTGGTCTTTCTGGAAATTCATAATATACACGTAATGAGAGAATCCCTGCGTAAACTTAAAGAAATAGTTTATCCTACTATTGATGAGACTCGGTGGTTATCAAATGTGGACTCCACACATTGGCTGGAATATATAAGGGTAAAATACTTTTGATGTGAAAAATCAATTGTTTTTTTAAACCATGTTTTTAACTTGTGTTTTTGAAAATACTACTGAAATAATGTCTAGACGTAAGCACGTTCCTTTGGTCAGAATAATCATGTAAAGAAGTTTAATTCTTAAATGGTCACAGTAGCATTTTAAGCATTCCATAATAACTTTGTATTTCCAGTTTTATGTATTGGTAGGTAATGAGTTAATTCCTGATAGCACAGTATCGTATTTCGTGTTGGACAATGTTTTATTTTCTTGAGAGAGAATGTTTGTGAGCAGTCCAAGGTTATCCCTGCTTTTTGGAAGAATGCCCTGGGAACTTCAGATTATATTTGAACAACTGCCAAAAGGACTTGACACTAAATTCTGCAGTCTTTCTCATCCTTCCCTCACTCAGTGCAATGTTAGTGTCCCTGTGTTGGGCACCTACAATTTCATGGGCTCTTTATAGTCAGTGCTCTACTGGGTTATAATCTGCTCTATTATTTAACATAATATTAAAATAAATCACTACCATACTCAGTTTTACAGTCTGTTTCACTAACCTCTGCAATGCTTTTAGAGTAGATTATTTCATTACCACATTCACTCCCCTGTTTATGATGAATATGGATGGAGTGGAATTTGTTTTATTAGCAGCTGGCTCAAATGTCACTCCTGCAAAACATGTATGGGATTGTTCATTAGTTTTGCTCTTCTATTAACTAGTGCTTGCTAAATGCTGCAGGAGAACCAGTAGAGGGAGCAAACACTTAAATTAAGAATTAAACAAATTTAATTATCTTTTGGGAACAGTTTAATTTTCTTGTTCTCTTGAAGTTGGACTATTTCAAACAGCTGTGGGAATCTGAGTATCTGGAAACCTTTTGTTATCAGCCTGGCCTTAAATACAATAGTCTATTTTTAAAAGTGGAGTTGTTTGGGCCAGCAGTCACCTTTCATTGGCATTGGCTTCACTGGGGTTCCAGGGCTCAGGCGGTGTCGGAAGCAGACCTTGATACCACTGTTGCACAGATTACAGTAGCATAGCAATTTGAAATTTCATTTAAATTGTTTTAAAGAGTTGACACATGTAACATTCTTCATGAAGCTGTTCCTTACATGATACTTCACGTTACAGTATTGACAGCACAAACTGCAGCCTGATTTCCTAAAAGCTGCCATTACTGTGTTAACAGCGTTGATAGTATCTCCCTGTGCTTTTATCCAAGAATCGCTTGCCTTCCTTGCCTATTTGATTTGGCTTGTAGTAGCAATTAACAAATCCACAGCTTTATGCTAACGCATCTTCTGTTTTCCGGGCTCAGACCAGTGTGATTGCGTCCCAGTTTAATGCGATGCATTACTGGAAATTCACTTTCCATGCACTGGGCACCCGCAGCACTTTGAAGATGGTCCAGGAGTGTCTGGGGAGGCACCGTAACGTTCTGTGTGTGCGGAGATAGTAGCAACAACAGGAGCAGAGTCACTTGGTGCCTTTTGCACACCCAGGTTGTTTCCTCGTGCCCTCCAGGGTATTTTCTGTCTTTCAGGGTAGAACTTGTGCTATTAATCATGTTGAAACCAATTCTCATGTTCTAAACCACTCCAAGGCCAGTTATTCATTAGGAGCCCTAACTGAAATACCGTGATGGTTGCTAAGTTTTGAAACATCTATAAAGAATTGTAATAGTTTGTGGAGGAAGCTGCTTTCTAAAGGCTTTTGTCCAAAGTAGAATAAAATGCTTCACCTACTCCACAAATATTTACTGAATTAATAGTAACTCTTTTCTGTCTCCCATTCTCTGCTTATTGCCCATATCTGTTCTATCCTTTTGTTTTCAGCTGTACTCCTTCAGAAGCATCTGTGTACTCTTTAGAACAATTCAGAGCAAGCTATTGCATACCTGTGTGTTATATAGATTAGTTTTCTGCTTTTATTGAAGACCACACTGTTTTAATACTTGCACTTTTTTAGTGCAGTGGAGCTTTGTAACTGAAGTAATTGGCAATTAACTAGTTCAGACTTTTCTCCCATAGAAGCTTTTGTATTGTTTCCTGATATTTCCATCCTGGCATCCTTCAGTTTTACCATAAAAGATATGATCAATGAAAGATATAATCAATGAAAATTGTCTCTAAAGCATGGATCTTGAAATAGCTTTGAAGACTGGTCTTGTGCACAGCTTCTTCAATGGGTGCTGGCTTTCCTGCTTCCCAAATGTTTTTGCATGCCTAGGAAGGGAAAAATGCGAGTATTTTGCAAGATTCCATTTCCTGATGTTGGAATGCAGAATAGGAATTTGTCCTGTGGTCCTCTTCTAGTGGTTGGGTTTTTTCACATATTTTTCAGTGCTGTGATAGGTCACATTACAGAGACAAACCTTCACAGGAGAGAGATTATTCAAGTTTTTAAAAAACTACAGAGTGGCATAAGAGAACAAGAGAGGGGTGTTTTTGGGGGGGAGAAGAATAACAAGTTCACAGAGGTGATCTCAGTCCTGTGCCACCTCTGTCCTTTGCTTCTTTCCAGCACACGTCTGAAGCCGTGCTATTAATGGTCTGCTCATGGTTTGCATACAATATATTCAACAAATGCACCAACAAACCAGCATAGGCTCCCAGCCAGGGCTTCCTGGGTTTGTTTGGGTTGTGTTTTGATTTAGATTAGCTGGGTAGTTTGTCCCTTTCTCTAAACTTGGTAGTTGAGAACTGAAAGTTGAGGAAGAAAGAGTGATAGATTACTGTGAAAATGAACTTTGAAAACATTGAACCTTCAGCCTTTGGAATAGTTTTCAATATTTCTGTCTTTTTATCATGATAGAGAATTTCAGATTTAATTTAGAGAAGGAATTCCCAGGTTCTTTTGCTATGTGCTACTAATAATGGAGAGCGGGTAAGAACTCTCTCCTGGGCAGCAGAGTGGACACAGTTGTTGTCCCTCTAGGATTATGCACACCACCATTTGGAAATCTCAAATTTAAAGCAATGTCTTCCAGATTATTAAGTAATTAATCTGAAATTTTAATATATATTAACCTTAGGAGTATAAAACGATAACTTTTTTTTTGGTAGAGTTTTGGCTAGTATTTAATATGCTTTTTTATTTATTTTTGTTTATTCAAGATGCTTCTTGCTGGAGCAGTAAGAATTGCGGATAAAATTGAATCTGGTAAAACATCTGTAGTGGTACATTGCAGTGACGGTTGGGATCGAACTGCACAGCTTACCGCGCTGGCTATGCTTATGCTGGACAGCTATTACAGAACTATCAAGGGGTTTGAAGTTCTTATAGAGAAAGAATGGATAAGTTTTGGACACCGATTTGCAATGGTAAGCTGAAAGATTTAGTGTGCAGTTTGTCACCTTCAAGGCTTTTGTTTTGAATAGCATGTTTTCTCACAATATTCTGCTGCGGTTTAGTCATTGTCTCTGGTGTCCTTCTTTTAATGGTATAAGTGTGTCAGAGAATTGTGACCTGTTAATTTTTAACAGAAAATCTGTGTGCAAGGTATGACATAAAGTAAATAAGAATTAGGTGGCTTGACTATAATGATAAAAAAAAATCATGTCTTTTTTATGAGGGATTGTAACACATTGCTTCACCTTTAACAATCTTATGAATGGAGAAACAAGGGAAACAATTAAGGTGTCTAGAAGGTAAAATTGCTGGAACCATTGCTCTCATTTAAGGTTGAAGTGTTTAACACATGGGCTGGTGGGGAATTAGGACATAAATTATTATGATATTTTGTGGGCTCTGACTCTAAGGGGGTTTAGGAGAAATGACATGTAGTTATGGCAGGTGGATGTGGAAAAATCATCATTTCAATACAGTCTTAGTAAATACCTACCAGTTTGACCCACTGGTAGAAATAAATGGCTGTGCAGTGAAAGATGGGGATACAACTGGCACAGCTTCGTTGACCAAGTGTCTTTCCAGCTCTGCTCAACAGCAAAGGTATGTCCATAAGTGAATATTGGGATGCATTTTTTTGTAGTTATTTAGGTTAGCATTAGGAAAGATTTGCTTGTGTTGTTCACCATGGGAACATATTTAAGAGTTACTCAGCTTTAAAGTGTTGGTGTGGTACTGTAAATACACTAGACTGAAATGAAAAGTTTGTTTTGACTTTCAGCGAGTAGGACATGGAGATGATGATCATGCTGATGCAGACAGATCTCCCATTTTCCTTCAGTTCATTGACTGTGTTTGGCAAATGACAAAGCAGGTAAGATGCTTACAGGTGTATTTCTGTGAGGTCTCGCTCTTTGTCTTGGAAACATAATTCATGTAGGAGAACACGTTCCTTTGCAGAGCACTAGCGTGTTTTCCTGAAGTTGGTCCTGCTGCGGCTGCACTGTGCACGCATAGGGAAACTTTTTGCTCAAAGTGAGGTACGAGGAGCTAGAGCAGAAGTATTGACTTGAAACCAAAATACCAGGAATCCTTTTTGTTTAAAATAGGCTTTCAAAGGATTCTCTGATTACACAAATGGGGGTTATTGATGAGATAAATGATTTTCATTGCATTGCATTGGATTTATACTGTCCTTAAGAAACAGCAAAAATCCGGGCTGATTGTGAACTGAGGGGAGAAGAGGGTGATTTGATGTGTGCCTCAAATGTGAAATGTAAGTTACCGTTGGCATCATTACACATACAGGACAGCATTTCTAATGTACAAGCCTATTCTCAGATAAGTTTTCTTAATTCCAGCACTGCTTTTACCTCTGGATCATGATAGATCTTTGAAATGAGTGCTATTTCAGATATCAAAATACTAAAATCCTAATTTTTTTCTGAATATGTTAAATTATGGAGTGCCTTTAGCCTTCATTTTCCTTATTTGTACCTACATGAGCATAAACTTAAGATTTTTCTGAGCTTCTATATTGCTGTTCTTTAATGGGGCTGCTGAAATAGGTTGTCCACATGAAGGTTTTATTTCCAAGTAAATTAGAAGTGCTTGACTTCTTTTTTTCTTTTTTTTTTTTTTTTCCTCCTTGAAGCCTAACGTAGATCTGTGCTCTTATGGTAAAAGCTGTTATACTGAAGTCTGGATAGTATGTGATTTCTTTTGAAGAGCGGAGGGTAACAGTCTGGTTCCATATGATGCTAGCACTCCCAGATCTCTTAGCTTAGTCTTCTTGTTCTGAACATGGTTCTTAAAAACTTACATCATAGTTTCCAAAACTTGTATTCAAAACAGTTGTCTTCGTTGCTTTATGAAAGTTCCCTGCTGTGATACTGGGCCCTCGTCCAGAGTCCCTTGAAGACTTTCTCTTTCTGTGTATCTGTATTTCAGCATTAATGTGCTGTTTAGTATGGCTGGAGAAAACAAATGAAAAATTCTGCCTCTCTCTCAGAGGAAAGCTAATAACAATAGCAAAGAGAAGAGTTCTAAACACCTGGTAGGAACAAAAGTCCTCTGGGGAGATCCTTAATTGAGAGCAGCCTCTTCTATTTTTGTAATCTCCCTTGCTGCCTCCTATTTCTTGCTATAAACAGTTTAGTTCCCTCTAGTTTTTTTTTTTAAAAAAAAGGGGGATGGGAGTGGGGGGAATCTGTGAAACATTTTGCCAATACCACATCTGTTCAAAACCTGGATCCAGAAACTGTTCTGAAATTCATGAACAGCACAGAAAAATCATTGATGTTACAGCAGGAAAAAAGTTGAAAACATCATTTTTGGAGAGTTCTTGCCCACTTATTTTTATTTTCTAGTTGATTTCAACACCTAGAGAATAGATGGGAAGACTGTGATTACCTTGACATGGACCTATGAAAACCAGGATTCTATTTTATCCTTGTGTAGATCCCTTGCTCATAAAACAGTGCTAGTTTCGTGCTTTAGAATCCATGGTAAACATGTGTGAAATGTTCCAAAGCTCAAATAAGTGTTAATGACTGCGGGAGGGCAAGGGCTCGGGTTTGGGCATGGGCTCAAAGCAAGCAAGTTTGCTCTTTCACGTTCTGAGAATTACATACTTAAAACAGTTGACTTAATACAGTGAGAGAATCTCTAACTTCCTACTAAGATACAAATTTCCGGATAGCTTCAGACAATGAAACTTAATCCTTGACAGCCTTATATTTTCCCTTGTTTTTATGGTCTCATGACACACAAGTGCAGTAACAGAAGTTCAGAGAAGTACGTTGGTATCAGATTTTAATAAAAAACATATGGTGAAGTGATTTCCCTCCTCTGTTAGTAAATTCTGGTGATTTCGTCTACCAGATGTCAAATTGGAAAGGCCACATGTGATCTGATGAAATGCTGATGCCCTGTTAAAAATGAAACAAAACTGTAAAATTTGCATCTAGCGTTGCAGCTGGGGTAGCAGCTTTCTACCTTTCGTGCCCAGTACTCACACGGGAGGAAGGTATGTTTGAAGTTGGTAGAAAGGTGCATCCTGTGTGTTACCAGATGTCATCTGTTGCCAGAGACGCGTTTTTGACTAGTTTCAGTAGCGTACTCTGTTACGATACCTAGTGTTCAGTTAACCTGATTCAGTCCAATTCCACGATCGTAAGAACTATTCTGCAAAGTGTTTCAACTTTAAGTGTAACTGCAGCACAGAACAAATCCATTTATAAAAAACAAATTTATTTTGCATGTCTCTGAATTAGATGCCACTTGGCATCTGACTTTAAACAAGAGAATTCTTCTTTTAAATACGTCCTTTACAAAAACCCCCAACAACTCCAGGAGCATCAAGTGGGAGATTTTAATGACCCATGTGTTCTCTCACAATTAGTGGATTTGACAAGAAGTAAATTTTCATTTGGGGAATTTTTCCACCTGAATCTTCAAACAGACACTAATGGGCTTGGAAATACAGAGGAAAGCATTTTTAGGTCACTGATTTTTCAGCAGTGGTAATAGAAGCTGTACAGTCTTGATACATCAGCTCCAACAGTACAACTCTTGTATCCAAAGACAGGGTTTCAATAAAGCATTATCACTTATTAATAAATTAGTTGGAGCGCAACCACTGATGTATGGAATTCTGAATATGCTTCACTGGATTGGAATAGCGGCCGTGTCGGCATCCATCTGATTAGTATGGACCCATCACAGCACAGAACCCTAATGTGACAAGGTTCATTAAGTGCTTTCAGTTAAAGAGAGTCCCTTTAGGAGAGGCTTTGTCTTCGAAGTTATTTCCAAATATCATTTTGATCCTTTGCAAATTATTTTTGCTTTCTGTGTCTGATTGCTGCTTTGGGCTAGACGCAGGAGATTGAGGTTTGAGACCCACTGAATTTTCTCCTGACTTGGTTCAGCACACCTGCTTATCAAGTTCTGTTCCTACTTTTTTTAAAATCACAGCTGTGTTGTTAACGTCATTGTATTGTAATTGACTTTTGGCTTGATTTCCTAGAGAGAAGGAGGAGAGTAAGTGATAACTTCTGAACATCACTGAAAAAGAGAGTTTGATAATCTTGGGTTCCTATACTTTTTATGAAAACAAATGGCTAGGTGATTGAAAACAAAGCGGTGATTTGAGAGAGAAGTCCCAGCGTGAGCACGCCGTGCTGTTGAACAGCGCGTGATCCATAGCAGAGTCAGAAGAAGGAAGGCTCCCATTCATTTTGTGAGCAGCAATTATTGATAATTTCCTTACTGAGAATTTTCAGTTGAAAGTTGGTATAACTTAGCTTGAGGAGTCTTGGAAAGAGAATGTTTTTGCAATGTTTGACTTAAATCAATCTTCTTTTAAAAGAACATGCTTAAAACTTAGATCTTTCTGGGTTTAATACAAGCACGCCCATTGTGTGTTATCCAGCTCTTTGCTTTCAACATGAATAAACATTTGCCTTTCATAAATCACAGATGACACTGAAGAGGAGTTTCTGGATCAGCTAGTTCATCCGCAGTCCCAATTGCTGCGTTATTCCTCCTAGCTATACTTGTCGTCTTTTTTTTTTTATTTAAAGTAGCTCTTGAGTCACTCATGCCAAGGTGTTCAGTATTCTTCAGTGGCACGTACCAGAAACCAATCTGCTGCTTTCTTCAGATCTGAAATACTGACTTGAGATTTCTTCATACAGCAGGAAATTCTTCCTTACATATCTGTAACTTTGCATTTTAGACTTCTGTAAAGATTTACTCCTTCAGTGGGAAAGAACAAAATTTGTTTCAGTTGTCCTGAAAATTAGTCTCTTAGAACACTCTGTTTCATGGTAATGTGAGAAATGCTGCTTCTTAAATTTTCCTTTAGTCTTCTAAATTTTTTTTTCTCCTCAATGTTTATCATTCTGTATCTGTGTTTGAGACCCTTGTCATACTGAATGCAAAGTTATTTTGACACTTCAAGCAGTTGCCATATGTAGTCCTATCATAAAATTTGATTGAAGAAGGACCTTTTCCATCTGAATAGGTATCAGCCCATGCAGTTTGCATTAATTTCTTCCTTTACAATTTTTAGAGCACGACAGATCAAGATACGTCTTACACACTTTGAGTGTTTTCAGATTTCTAACTCTCTTTCCTAGAATGTATCAGGTAACCTCTGCTTGTGAATAAAATACCTAGTGGTGCTTAGTGGAATAACAGTTCTTTCATTTCAGATGTACAGGACTTGCTTTCCCCATAGAAAAGAAGAGGGATCAAAGGCTCATTGTGCATAGCTGATCATAAACTCAGGGGGTAAAATGGAGAAAAGTAACTTGGGTAGAAAGTGAAAGAAAGATTTTAAATACATGTTAAGTACATTGCATGTGCAATAGTCTTTATTATCCAGTTCATTGCATGTTAGAATAGGAAATAAAACTCTCAAATGTCATCTTCATCTTCCCCCCTCCCCTGAAATGATTTATTGTCCCATAACAAGAGAATAAAGCCTGTGTTTGAAGACAGCTTGGTGTGGGTTAGGACAGAATACTGTTTGGTTATTTCTTATGTCTGAGTTTCTTCCTTTCTACACTGCTTAAAATAAAGTTTAAAGTAATTTTACCAATTTTTTTTATTTCAGTTTCCTGCAGCCTTTGAATTCAACGAGTTATTTTTGATCACGATTCTGGATCACCTCTATAGTTGTCTCTTTGGGACTTTCTTATGCAACTGTGAAAAGGAGAGATTGAAAGAGGTAAATAATTAGTGTAATACACATTCTTAATTTGTTGATTTTATATGAAAATGCTTAGAGTACAAGACCTAAGAACTGAGCTGTGGTTTTGGATACATTTGTCATGTAGTCTTAAAAGACAACGCGGACATGAAATTTCATGGTATAAGAAATACATACTGAATTCCCCCTATTAAATGAGGTGGCACTTATTTTTCTTTAGTTACCTGTACAGGGGTTTGATGGTTTTAGGAAGTCCTCTTTCAGGTATTTCTAGCCAACTTACAGAATTTTAAGTAATCACTATCAAATTACATTAGCATTCCTTTCGCTATTTCCGAAGGACCTCCTAAGTGACTTTGCAGGGCACTTTACAACACAATTAGATGGAATTTATGGTTGAAAACTATGGAAATTTAAAATATCTAAATGTGTGAAGTTAGGACTCAATTAAATACTTGGAGTTTGGAAACAAAAATTAAAGTTTGTTAATATTCCAAGTACACTTTTACTTACTTTTGGCTTTGTTGTTTAAATACTTCATATTTTTTAAAGCAAGTAACAATTCCTTGCCATATTTAGCTTTGCTATTTTTTTTGTCTCTTCTGCTTTTGTAGGGAAAAAGTTGCATGTAAATACCACAAGATGGAGCTGAATAACATGTTCTCAGCAAATGCAGGGTGTCCAGACAGCTTTCTTTCATAAATGAGTAGTCAGATGCAATTCTCAATAAAGAAATGCAATTTAAGACACAGCGGTAGTAGAAACACACGCTTTACAACACTGAAGGAGTGTAAAATTGCGAGATGAATCTGATGTAAGTTCAGATTTCCAATCTTTGATCTAACCATGATTACACTGATTACATTTAGAGTAATACAACTTTCAGAAGTGCCAATAAAGATAAAATAGGCATTTTAAAGCATAATATCAATTGATACGAGCAAATACTGTGAGTGGGAGAATTGAGTAATTATTTTTCACAGATGCTGTTTTGGATCTTCGAAACTACATAACTCTTCACTGATGTCAAAGCTAGTTTTATTTTATTTTTTCTTTAGTTGGTCAGTGTGTAACCATGTATTTAAGTAGCTGTAAACATTGCTGTAAATTATGAGCAGTACAGCTTTCTTTTGCTCAGCTACCCCTTAATGTCTCAGAAAAAAATATGCCTGAATCTCCTTTCTCAGTTAGCCTTGGAGCAGAATAAGTGTTCAAACGTTTTGCTGAAGTTTGAAGGCTGTTTAATGATCAGCTACTGGAAATGTTCTCAGAGTGCTTGCAATTTTCTAGTAGATAAGGTAAATTTCAGACAAAATTGCTGATATGTAGATATTAACCTCATATTTTAATGTTTTGCAATCCACTTTTTTTTTTTTTTCAATCAGGAGCTAAGCACAAAGACTATATCGCTGTGGTCCTATATAAACAGCCAGTTAGATGAGTTCACAAATCCTTTCTACGTCAACTATGAAAACCATGTCCTGTACCCTGTTGCCAGCCTGAACCATTTGGAACTATGGGTGAACTACTATGTCAGATGGAACCCAAGGATGCGGCCTCAGGTATGAGTTTTCACATTACTTTTATGTTTTAGTGAAGAGCACAGAGCTTTGAAAAAAATACTATTTTTCATAGTGTGGAATGCGGCATTTAGTTTCAAAAGTGCTCATCCGTTGCATGTATTTCAGCTGATAGGGAGAAAGGTGATTTTCTTGAAGAAGGTGAGGGATGTGTTCAAACTTGGTAAAATGATGTTTTTAGTGAATAGGGAGTTACAGTATCACTTTATTGGCTTGCAAAAGGTAACAGATCAACATGTTGTCGGAAGATTACTTTTATAACACTTCTATAATACTTTGTAACACTTTTTAATACTTTTATTGCCTTAACCTTCTTGTAGAGTTTAGTGTGCCTTCGTTTTTAATCATGTCTTGCCCTTTACGAACAATGATATAAAATACAGTAGCAGTTTCTGAAAGAACTGGACTATGTACCAACTCCATGTGTAGGCTCTCTAAACTTAGCATCACATAGATGCTTGTTTTCAGTTGACCTTTATGGTTTCAAGCTGGCATGCTAAAGATTAAACATTCCCGATACATGCTCATTGATTCATCCAGTATTTGTTCTTATAAGTAATGTCTGCTATTCAGATAAATCTCTAAATCTCGTCAGACAAATACTCCATATGCTCTCATTGCTTGGAAGTCTGAAAAAGAAACATTCAGTTTGTGTCACAACCATAATATATCTGAGGGCGCTACACCATCTCTTTATTAAGGTAACGTTCCAAGGTACCCCCAAGCATATTATGATAAATCACCTGTATTAGGTGACTGCTTGAAAGCTGCTTTCATCTTCTAGCAGTTAGAATGAGATGTGAGTTTCAAAAACAAGACACCCACAAGTCAGAGGCTGTTGTAAAAGATGGTGTTCCAAGGTAAGTTTCAAGGGCAGTACACTGGTAGATGTCCAGGCATCTAAGAAATATCTTTTAAGGTCCTGGAAAAGTCTGGATTGTTTTCTTTCTCACTGAGATGTTTCCTCTGAGCTGCTTCATCTCCCTTACTTGTTCTATTTTGGTTGAGGTAGTCCTATAACTGTTAGGTACCTGTTAGGTGTTAGCATGTGTTAAAACTTGAAAGATGGTGTATTTTAATCTTAATGGTTTTAAAGTAAAATTGTCAACTGCTTTTTAGTGAAATACCATCTTCCCCTGAGCCTCTTTGCTGGAAAACATTTGCATGGTTTATGCATGTTTTAGTATAATTGACCTGCAGCAGTGTCAGTTTATTACTTGTATTTAATTGAGACCTATAGGCCCTGAAAGCAAGCAGGCTTTGTAAACACACGTGAAAGCTAGGCCCAGTCAAAAAGAGATGAGGGTGGAGAAGAAGTGACGTAATGAGAAGACATCAAAACTGTCCTGTACTTGGTGGCAAGCTCTGCTCGCTGCCTCTCTGCTGGAGGGCGCGTTGCTCACTTCTGTTGCAGAGCGCTCAGGCACTCCAGAACGTGTGAACCATTGATTTCCACTGGTCTTTGAGAACAGGCCCCTCAAATCAGCAGGTTGAAGGTAACAAAATGTGGTGATCCTGGTAACTGCCTTAACTTTACTACCACTACCTTTTCTAGAGAACTAAAGTAACTGGTTTGACCTTTTAGATCTACCACATTAGCTTTGTCTTATGAAGATACGTCATGCCTTTCCTCTTGTCTCTGGCCTGAATTTATGTGGTAGTGGCAAATATTCGGAAGTGTTTCATATCTACTTGGATAAATTTTCTGCAGAAATTAAAGTTTTTTGTTGCAGAATTGTGTTCTCCAATCTAATTATGAAAGCACAAACTCATGCAAACAAGTGAATAACATCTTCGTAATCACAGTATACTGGGTTTGCTTTCTTCTGTATTTGCATTGTCTAGTTTCACACCCTGTTAGCCAATTCAGTAACATTCAGACCCATTCAGCAACAGCAAAAAAGGCAATCACCATTGAGAAGCCCAGCAGGTCTTCACTTATCTTCAGTGAAAAGATTTCTTAAACAATCAGTGGATTTATTAAAAGAATGGGCATCTCTGCCTACTGAGAAAAGGTGTTTTTGTTGAATAACTTTTAATGTGGTTCTTTTGTTTTTCAACTAGAATAAGAGCAAGTTAAATATTTAATGTTAATGAAGAGCTCTCTGATGAATAGCAATTCAAGGCAACCTCACATACTGTTTTATCAGCTGCAAAAAATTCTTTAGGAAACTAGAAAATGTTTATTGTTTTCTAGGAGCTCACCAAAAAGGAGAAATGCCTAATTACATGAGTTTAAGGGAAGGTGAAGACTAGTCCTTTAATATAATCCAAATGGATGTTTGATACCCGTTATCAACCATCTTTATAATATGGGAGAGGAAACTCACAAAGAGCAAAAGGGCAGTATTTGGTCTGAGGCAATATTTTAGGTTTTCTAATTTCACCTTTATTATTGCACTTCATTGACTTTTCTATTGGAAATGAGCATGCATCACCTTTAATTTTTTTAATTTGAAAATCACTGAATGCTAACTGGATATAAGCATTTATTTTTGCTTTGTACTCTGTCTTCAAATATCTGTGTCTCATCAGACCTCTGAAAGTACAGTAAGGTCTGATCGTATTTGTCATTGTGCTAAGACATGTAGAGTTCAGAGTTATTCTTATGTTCTGTAAAGAAGAGATTGCTTATAATGATATGTCTTCAGTTCTGTCTAAGGTTTGTGGAAGGCTGAACTGGTGGTTTTGGTGGTGTTTATTTGCATCAAGAGCCTTGTTTTAGGATTACAGCTGTATTGCAATTAGGTGACACACAGTATCCTTCCATAGGGCTCAAAGCTCAAGTGTCTGAGAAGTGAACAAACGTGGAAAATTTTAGGTTAAATGTGGACATCTTATGTAGATTCCGTTTTTGATAAACTGTGCTTCAACAAGGTCATTCTAATTCTTAAGTGAAATAAACTGTTCCTTGGTTTCATTTTGGAGCTGTTACATCATTATTGACTTCATGTCCCAGGAAAATTAGATGGATTTTAGTTCTATCTTATTTGAGTTCATTGACTGAGGCTTTTTCAGATTTGTCCTTTCCTTGGGTTGGAAGAACATGTATTTGTATGTGACGTGGAAGATAAGCTCTTTCATTCTCTCATACAGAGGTGTGTGCTCTGTGAGTACCTGCTACTGGACTTACAGATGACCCTTCTAGTCTGGAATAGTTAAGATTCTATGATGCTTTTGAATTTCTTCAGTTGGTATCCTATATTTCTTTTTCCTTTCCTATGTAGTCATTCAGACCTCTTCTTTACACTGGTTTGAGGAGTTCTGGCTGCCAGATGTCAGTTATTTATCTGCTTGGGCAACTCTGGAGGGTGAGGAGAACACCAGAAATTATTTTCCTGAATATGACTTCTGTAGGGGCCATATTTTTGAACTGATATACTCTTATCATTCATATATGCAGAGCATGGGTAGAAGTTCTGGTCCTTTCAATTCAAGCTGTGCCTTCCTGTGTGAGAGGCCAGGAAAAGAGTGTGTTTTAGTCACAGAATTTACATAGTCTGTTAGGATATGTGTAGCTGGTTTTATGCCTTCTGGGAAATGACATTTTAACCCTTGGAGTGCAGGGCTTAAACTTGGTTTGGTTTTGGTTTTGTTTTGTTTTTTTAATTTTTCTATGCCTGCTAATTTTTCTTCAAGCTCTGTTCTGGAAATTTGGCCACTGCGCTAGAGATAATATCATAGGAATCCCTATAAGTTTTCAAATTCATCCTTTTCTTTGTGTGTGTGGGCTTGCATCCAGAATATAAGGCTAATACCATCTATAGCCTAGAAATTCAATTCAGCTACTGGAAAGGGATCTTCTGCTAAAGGCAGTCCAGAGCTTCCATGAAAAGCCAGGGGAAGTCTGTTCATAGGTTAACAGCTGGCTTAAAAAAAGAAAAGGAAAAGGTAAGACTAAATAACTGTTCAGTATATACGGAAATGATCTGGAAAGTATATAAATAGGTTATGATTGCTTTTTTTTATGCTGTGTATAGAATTGTAGAAGGATTTGATGTGTTGAATGACTGAGTGAATAAATGTCAGCTGAACTTCAGTGTCAATAAACACAAAATATTGCATATTTAAAAGAACAAATAAGATAGTAAGCGTCACTGGAAAAATTGTTGAGAATAAACTGGAAAACATAATTACTGAGATGCTTTATCTTGCACATAACAGGATAGGACTTGCTGTCTGGCACATGGGGTGTTCGTATTATTTATACCTGCCTTCAGTCAAGTTGCCTGGCATTTTCCTCTCTGGGCATGTTGACATTGGTTGTAGTATTTTCAAAGTTCATACATACGATTTAACACCATTCTGTGGCAGGACAAAGCTATCAGCTGTCTCTGGAAATTCTTGGCGTTGCTGGTCCGCAATCTGTGGTCTTGAGTCCATCTTTTTGTATCAAAGAATGAGGAGGGAGATGTCAGGAGAAGGAACTGCCTTGTGGGTTAGGGAGCTGAGTGTTGCCCTACCTAAGGAGATTTCATCCCTGCATTTACTGCAGAGTTTCTTGTGAGACAAGGCAAGTTTCTTACAGTACCTGGCAGTTTCTCTCTATCTGGATGTCTAAGTTAAGATATCCAGAGTCTGATTTACTGCAGGGAACTTATATCTGTAGATAGAACTCTCAGCATTCAATTGATATGGAATAAAATGAAGACTTAACTGCTTATCCTGTGTGCTGAAAGAGCCTGTAGTTATTTAAGGAGAAAAAAAGATTGGTGTCCTGCAAGGAGCACAGCATCAGAACATGCACAGAAAGGGAGAAAGTAGTACTGTACATACAATCTTCATTTTGGGGAGTTTCTGAAGTATTTGGAAGAGCAAGCACTCAGAGCACTGCTCTAATCTATCAGATGTCTAAATCTAAACGGGCTGTAGATTTTTAACAAGCAATGGCATCAGCTTGTGGCTTGTAGAGTTCCCTGAGTCTGGAAATCTGTTTGCAAAAACCTCTGTTCCCGTTCCCACATGGTAGGATTCATCATTTC